CCTTCACTCCCTCTATGTAAAGGGCTAATTTTTTTTTTAACTCTCTCATTTCTATCTCTAAGATCTTTCTCTTCTCATTTACTTCACTAACTTGAATGTCAAAGTACAAATGCTGTAGACAATTTTAGCTTTTACTCTTAATCAACCTTGTACTTATGATTTCAGGTTCTTGTCCTTAGTCCAAGCTTAGCACAACAATATATAATTTAAATAATGTAATTTTCCCACACTAGATTGTTCATGAACTTCAAATATAACAAGTTTTGTTGATCTATAAGGAGTTGCATAAAATCAGCTAGCTGTTTGAGACAAGAGGCATTTAGATTGACATTACTAGGAATGCTTATTCATACCCCATTTTTTACAAAAAAAAAATTATTGATAGTTTTTCTAGGTGTCTTAATTGGAAAGAGCTGGTGAAAGGTTGAAGGTGGAATGGCCTAAACTTGTAACCAAAAAGCACGATTAGAGGGTACTAGAGTTAGTTCTCTAAGACACACTCCGAGATTCAAGTCAGTTAGGTACTTAAGGTTTTAAGAAGGAAGAAGAAGTGAAGTGTGTGTAAGGAAATTTTATGTACTAAGATCATAAGGTCTTCTCACATACCTAGTCCTCTTGCTTACCCTATATCTAAGATAAAGAACGATAACTTAATTGAGATAATTGATAGTTGACAGTTGATGAGAAGTATACGTGAAGCTTAAAAAGGATCCACGTAAGTAATTGTAAGTTGCATTTAATGACCTAGGCAAGTGTAGTCTACATTTAATGGTCCCAGGCAAGTTGGAGACTAAATGTTTAGTTTTGAGGTGATGCTTTGATGTGACATTAGTGGGAATATTGGAAGAGCCCTCTCTTAGTGAAGGGCGAGCTAGTTCTTAAAGGGAGATAACTTGGCAACTAGGCATATGCTAGTTGGATGCCTCAGGCAGATACAAGGGAGTTGACCGTGTTGACCTAGTAAATGGGCGTAATATAAATCTATTATTTTGGTATCAAATGACTCAAGCATTTGCCCTATTGTAGGTAGACAAGCTAAACCTATAATGGGTCAAGCACACTAGCTAACCAACTGGCCTTGTACTTCCATCAATGACTCAGGCATTTGCCCTGTTTGTAGGGGTTTCTCTAAGTTAGAATATTTGAAAATAGAAAGAGCCTGTGAACACTGCTTTAACCTTTAGTGCATTATTTGGTGGTCAGATTCTTTGTTGAAAGGCATTTTTTACTGGACCACACTAGTTGCTATACGGTCAATCATAGCGTGCTTGCTACAGAAGTTTGCCACCGGCGAATTGGTATGAAACTAGTGAAATTTTCAATTACCTGTCTGCTTAATGTTACTTAAAAAATGCATACATTTCAAACAAGGAGAATTTCAACATTTTAATGCAGTTCAATTATAGCAACTTGGACAAATAATGGAACCTCAAACCTGGGACTTTAATTAACAATAACTCAAATAATGTAGCCCGGGAAAGACAAAATTTACATGCTTTAGCAGGCTTGACGTTCAATGAAGAGTTCATTAGTCATTGCACTCACCACCAGCTTCTTGTTAGACATTTTCAACAATAATAAAGTGTGGAACTAATCCACCATTGAAAAGAATAAAGGGAAGAAAGTCTTATGTGGTTGGACTAAAACACTAGGTGCAAGATTGGGTCATGGATTTGTATTTTCAAGCTTTGGTCTTTATTTAATAATAACATAATTAATATATATTATTACTTAATAGATGTAGTTAATTAAATAATAAATTATTATTTTAATCTTAAGTTTAATTTTTGAATTAAATGAAAATTAACTAAGTACGTACGGTGAAAGCATACTTCTATTTTTTGGACTTAATCTTGATAATACATTTAATTAACTACAGTGTGGATAGTTATTTTTTTCTACTTGATCTTCACAATTGAGAGTAATTATGCTAAATAACCTCACACAATTTAGCATACATTCCAGACTTTTCGTTAATTGATAAGTGTCTCTTTTTTTTTAAAGACTCTAAAAGATAATATTTGGTATTTTTATTTTTAATGTTTTGGTTCTTATATAAATTCACTTGCATAATATGAATGTTTAGATTATAATTAAATAATATTTTTGTTTATTTTATTTTTAGTTACATAAGTCTAATTATTCATGAACTTAATAACCATTTATAAACTCAATTAATTGTGAATGAATGTATTTTATATTTGGTATTATTTAAATTTTGAACGTATATTCATATCTACTATTAAATAATATAAATAACTAGAAATTAAATCCAGATTGTATAAATCTAATTTTATTAATGAATTTAGCCAATCATGAATCTATGATAATATAAACCCACGTAACAGCGAATGGATGTTCTTATTGTTTAGTGTAATTTAAATTTAACATATCTATTAAATTGTATAATTACTTATGAATCAAATCAAAATTATTATATTTCAGTTTTATTTTTTTAGTGTTTTAATACATTGAAAAGTATAAATTATTGGTTTTGATTCATTATAAATTAATTTTTATTTTTAGTCAATGCATAAATAGATTTTCAATTAAATAAATATACTGATTTGTTTACATGAAATATTATTTTGTAAATATTTATTATTTATTTATATTAAAAAATGATCCGAAGATTCCTTGTTTTAGTTATTTATGTCTCATAATTGTTGTATTATATGAAAAGTTTATGGCTCAATCGAAACAAAATTGTGAAGTAAACTCAAAATAGTAATTAGTGCATATTCTATTGAGTCACAAGCAAACTGGTTTTGACAGCAGCTCTATAGGGAAGCAAGGAACTTACGAGGCAAAATCGAATAATGAGACAAATGGAATCTTTGATTTCTTCAACTACCCAATTCCTATTGGAAAAGTTAGATTAATCACATTAGAATTCAAATGGATCAAAGGTAAAGAAAAAGAAACCGAATTGATACTATTTGGAGAAATGAATGAGCAGGAAATGGATAAAGAAGGGCTAGACAGGAAACTACCAAAAGAAAAAGAATAATCTAAGTAATTAAGCTCTTAGTTATTTTCAAGTTGAAGATCAAACGACCATTGAAAACTACCAAATTCATAATTTCCAGGAAATAGTAATAATGACAACTTTGGAGGGATACCGGGGTTAAAGTCAAGACTTAATTAAGTTAGTTTGTATATTTATTTTAAATTATGATTTTAATAAGTTAGAAATTCAAATTATAATACCTACAATTTTTTTCTCTATCTTAGACTATGATCTTCTTAAAAATAACTACAATCTAGGATAAAAATATTTCAAATGCTGAAATTTAAACACTAGGATGTACTTGATGTATAAGATTATGATAGGATATAATAAGATAATATTATAAATAGAATTAAATTAAATAATATTATCTTATCTTGTATTTGATGTGTGCAATGATCAAGATATAATAGTTTTATTTATTAGTTAAAAATATTATTTTTCAAAATTTATATAATTTAAATTATTGGTATAATTTTTAAGAATATAATAGGACATATAAGTTTAATTTCATAGATTACAAATAATCCTCTCTATTTTGGGATAATTGAATCATCATATGTCAATAAAATAATTAATTCTTGTAATATTATCTATTTTTTAAACACAAACCAAACATTATATAAAATCATCATCATTACATCCTATCAATTATCTTATACACTAAACATAATATAAATTTGCTAAATATTATCTCTTAAAAATTATCACTCAAAACCAACTTTACTTTACTTTTGAAAAGTAAAAAAAAAGAAAAAATGCTCTCATATTTCAATTTCATTTACTTTATCTTTATTGATCGTACAAGATTGAAATAAATTAAGAAAGAATCAAATATATTCTCAAGCAAATAATAAAAGGATGATTTGTATGGATAAGATATATAATACGCCATTGATTGTTAATCTAAATTGTTTAACAGAAACATAAACTTGAAGAGATTAATAAAATAAAATTTATTTCTTCTTCTTCCTCTTCCTTTTATTTTTATCTATTTTTAACTTCTAACTAATCAATCTGCATTTTCTTCATATAGGTTATATAATTGTGAAATTAGTCATTTTTTTTTTAATTCATGATTTAATTTCGTTAGTTTATATAATTACTTTTAAAGCTTAATCCAATTAATATTCAATATATTTGAAATTCAAATTTCAGCATTAAATTATAATTTCAGCACTAAATTAAAGCTTAATTAAAGCTTAATCCAATTAATTCATATAATTAATTTACTATTCTTAAGTTACGATTTCTTTTATACTAAAAAAAATTAATTCTTTTTTTATTTTAAATACCAAAATGTAAATTAGTACATATATATATTTAAAATTTTAGGGCAAGACGCTTCTGTCCGTCTATCAAACAAAGATTGGGTATCATTTAATTGGTGATGTACAATATGAAATAGATGTTCTTATATTCTTGGCTTTAATTAGAAATATTCATACAAGAAAATTTTTGAAATTGGAAACATTTTGTCATTAAGTGTACTCAAGTCATACATTTCACATTGCAAACATAATAAAATATTTATATAAAATTATTTTATATATCCGCAATATAATTTTCAAACTCCACAAGCTGATTTATATAATTGATACATTTTTATAATAATTGCATTAATTTACTAAATTAATAACTTAATAGACATGTGATAATCTGCTCAATTTGCTTGTGATCGATATTTAAAAAATTTTACCATTGAATTATTCGATAATTTTCACCATTGTTCACAGTGGGAAATAGTGGTAACATAGAAACTATGATGAAATGAATTTGATTATAAATCTCCCACTTAGAATTAGACAATTTGAGAACAAAAGAGAGAATGAATAGGGTGAAACAGTTCTTCCATAATAAACAATTATTTATCATTTTTTTATTGGATACAATTTGATTTTTGAAGCATATATATGTGTAGTTGCGCTGTTCCCAGAAAAGCATTTACTACTATCTCACCCGCAAACTTACATAGAAAGAAAAGAGAGATATGGAACTTCAACATCTTAGCCATAATCATCCTCTGGTTTTCAATGAAGAGCGAAACCGTGGAAGTGATCAGAAGGTTTATTGCTCTGAGTGTGAGGAGGAGATTTCGGGTCCAAGGTTTAGCTGTGGGACATGCGGGTTTCATCTTGGCAAGAACTGCGCCATGGCACCTTCAGAGATAAATCACCCCTTTCATTGCAACCACAGCCTTAATCTTTTAGCAAGAGCGCCATATGGTGCAGGTAGGTGTGTTTGCACTTTCTGTGACAAATATTGCAATAAGTTTGTTTATCATTGTTCTTGTGATGTAGACCTTCACATCAAATGTGCTTTGTTTTTGTATAACATTGCCGAAAAAAAAATGGAGATCAGCTTCAATGGATAGAAAATAAAGACCCATCCATCTCTACCGAAAATCATTCAGAAGAGCTCAAAGAAGCTAAGTGTTTTGCATGTTGGAAGCCTTTATTAGATTCTGCATACCTTTCTCTTGATTCTGGATTTTGCCTACATAAAAAATGTGCTGAGCTACCTCTTGAAACCAATTACCCTCGCCACCACCAACATTCTCTTTTTTTACAATTTAATAGTCATTTTCTCTCTTGCAAAACATGCGAAGAAATCCAACCCAGGGGATTAATTTATTGCTGTTCAATTTGCAAGTTTCTCCTTTACATTGAATGTGTACCTATCATTGAAGATACAAGTAGTCATGAACATTCATTCACGAGGTTGTTGTTAAGACAATCCTCATTCACTTGTGATGCATGTGGCATTTTAGGAAATTATGTTCCTTATATTTGCTCGACATGTAGCCTAATAGTCCATAAGAAGTGTACTTCATTGCCACGCATCATCAAAAGCTTATGGCATCACCATCCTGTTTTCCACAAATACTTCGTTGTAGACAACGAATGTGGAGCACTGGAATGTGTGAATTGTCACGAGGAGGTGAATAAAGAGTGTGGGAGTTACTATTGTTCTGACTGCAACTGTATTCTCCATGTGAATTGTGCACGAAAATATCCTTCGTGGTATTACAAAATTGAGTCAAGAGATGCGTTTGAGAAGCTTAATCAAAATGGAACTGATACTATGGACCCAAGCTTTTTTGTTATTAAAGAGATCAGACATGGAGAAAATGTGATAAATACAGAGATAAAACATTTCAGCCATCAACACAATTTGATACTGCATGATGAAGTAAAGGATCATAAGTGTTGTGACGGTTGCGGTCAACTGATAGAGACTTCTTTCTATGGTTGCTTACAATGTGAATTCTTTCTCCACGAGTCATGTGCTGAGTTACCTAGGAAGAAGCAAATTTGGTTTCATGCACACCAACATCCCCTTAACCTTATTTCAGATTGCCTCTTCATATGTGATCTTTGTCGATTCGGGTGCAGTGGTTTCTCCTACAAATGCGGAATTTGCGATCGTCGTTTCTGCGTTCGATGTGCTGAACTTTCTCTGGCCTGCACAAGTCAAGGACACAATCACCCTCTTCTCTGGTACTACGAGTATGATGGGAAGTACTGTATTGCTTGTGGTGTCAGTACTGATGATAACTCAATATACAGATGCAAGGGTTGCGATTTTAATGTGCATTTTCGATGTACTTTCCTTCCACAAACAGCTCGTCACAAATGTGATGAACATTTTCTCACTCTCACATACCATGAAGATAATGATTATCCAGAATATCATTACTGTGATATTTGTGAAGAAGAAAGATGCCCCAGCTATTGGTTTTATTATTGTGCAATTTGTGACAAATCAGCTCATCCCAAATGTGTACTTGGAGATCACCCATTTGTCAAGCGTGGGACCAGCATCTTCATAGAAAGTGGGCATCCACACTCTCTCGTGCTCGTGCCAAAGGTTTATCCTTATCCTGAATGCTGTAAATGTGGTGAGCCCTGCTTAGATCTGGCTCTTGAGTGTGCAGAGACAAGATGCAACTATATTGTCCATTGGACATGTGGATATCCCTTCCTTCGAGAGGCAGTCCAAATATGGTTCTAGTGGTAGCCACAATCAGACACACAGATTGCTGATGATCACAACCCAAATGCGACGGTTCATACTTCTTATCCAAAATATCTGCTTTCCTTGTTTTATCCGTTGAAAATTTCCGAAATGTTTGAATAAATTCACTTTTTAAGGCTTCACGGTGATCTTAATCATGTGATTTGTAAGATTTTTCATTGCATTTGTGTAAACATTATCTTGTATCCTTTGTGACTCTTTGATTTTTGAGTAAAGTAATTGATCGATTTGCTATCATCACTTGAAATTTGATTAGAAGATTATATTTTTGTGAATATACTATCTAGCTAGGCTATATTGTGCACATAAAGTTGTCTAATTTGAAGGTAACTTCCTATTAATAAATCAGTCCCATTTTTGTTAAAGCGAGAAAAAAAAAAGGAGCAAAAGGTTTCTTTTCTAAAGGCGTTTCTTTTTCTAAAGGATCAAACCAGGAAACTGAAGAAAAGGGAGAGGAGGTTGAAGAAGAAGAAGAAGAGAGCGGAGGAAAAGGTGAAGGAGCAGAAAACGTCGTTGGAGAAGAAGGAAAAAAATAATAAGAAGAAGACACAGAATAAGTAAAAAGAAGGAAAAGAATGTAAGCGAAGAGCAAGGAGTTTTGCAGGTTGAGAATGGGTCTGAAAGGTAATTTTTAAAGTGCCCATTTTTTTTAATGAAATGAAATTCGGGTTTTTGACGGTTGATTATAGTTTTTATAGCGAAAAGAAGTTTGATTGTTGTTTTTGTCATTGGTGTTTCAGTTTGCATTTTGGGAAATAAATGTGAGTTTAATTGTCCATATCTCTCATTATTTCCCGTTGTTAAATAATTCTTATAAAACTTAGTGTGTTCCTCAGGGGAGGAATGCAGCTAACAATTCAGCCCTACAAATCCATTCGAGTCAATAAAGCAACTGGTTTTGCCCCAAAGATGGAAGTTTTGAGGAAAAGAGAGTTACCCATGTCTTTCACAACAAATACAAACACAAATTGACCATTAGTGGAAGGTTTTTTTTTTTTTTTTTTCCTATCACTTCAATTGCAGCCATTTACATGTGACTGCTGTTGTACTGGCATAATCTGAAGTTATTCAAATGGTAGGCAGATGTAAAGATTTGAGGAAAAGAGAGTTGTTCATGTCTTTCACTACTTTGGTATGAATGATGATTTTATAATGTTCACTAAGGAACTTTTTGGGCATAATTCCACAAGTGAATTAATTATACTTTGAATCCTCTTCATTATAAATGCATGGAAGAAAATTAACTGGGACAAATAGCTAGATAATTTTAAGAAAACTCACTAAAGTCACTGCTAAAGAGTAAAATAGTTTAATATTAGTATTCATTACTTAATTTGCCTAATGGTTCAATATTTTAATCTTAATACTTTAAAGAAATTTTAAAATATCAAAATTTCTTGGATATAATATTAATCTAATTTTAATAATTGACAATTAGAATAATAAATAGTACAATGAAAAATGAAGATGACATATTACTTGTTGTCTATTGGTATGGCACGACTTGGTTGGCTTAGTTTTAACTATTAAGTTTTAAGTTATAATATTTGATTTTAAGTGTTAATTTTATGTCTATCAATATAAGTATAATTGTATAAATAAAAATCGTACTGTATGATCTTTTTAAATTTTGTTTAAAAAAAAGAAAAAAAAAAAAAACTTACTAGTTCAGCTAACTTGCAGAGGAAATAAGCATCTTTAATGTTGCTTTTGAAAAGTAAAAAAGAAATCAATGAAAAATTAAAAAGAAATACTCATATTATTTCTTTATTTATTGGGCCAATCTCTCATGCTTTAGTTTTTTATTATTTTTTTTCATATTCACTACTTTCTTTTTTTTTTTTAAGGATAAATATAAAGAAGAGTCATATTAATTATTCTTAACCAAATAGGCTAACTTGGAAGGATGATTCTTTTGGTGGATAATACGCAGTTAATTGCTGACTAACTTAATTGTTTTATATCACAAGATAAACTCAAGGACAATAAAGTAAATTTAATCTTCCTCTCGTTTTTCTTTAATTTCTTTTTTTATTGTTTTCACATTTTTTATTTTTTTCATTTTCTCTTTTATTCTTTTTTTCATTTCAAGATGACCTATTTACAATTCAACCCAACATATCTAAGTAAATTTTATATATATATATATATATATATATATATATATATTATAAAGGATGTCATAGTTTAAAGATAAAAAATATTAAATTTAAATTTCAAAACTATCAAATATCATTTATTCAAAGTAATTGTATCAATTAATTAAAATAAACTTCGATTCATAAATTACATTGCATTAGTCATTTTTATTATTCACAAAATAATGTTGAATATATGATAAGGATGCACTGTCCTTGTATGTATACATCTTGGGGTTTCTAACAATTATTTTTTAGTGCTCTGTAGTAGTGTAGTATAGAGTTCATAGATATAGTATGTGATTTGTGAATAAATTCTTGGGGTTGGAAATTATGTAGCTGGAAATTAAATAGCTTCAATTACACTAATACACCATTTCTCAACTCAATTGTAGATTTTTTTAAAAAAATATTGTGTCCACTAGATGAGAATTTGCTAAAGATCTAAACGTTATAGGGAGACTTATTCTTTTTAAGAAAAAATCAAAAGTAAATCATAAATCTCATTGCAAGATAATTAGAACCTAGCAACCTTGAATATCTTTTTTTTTTTTTCAACTTTAGCTGTAGTTGCGTAGAAAACAAAGGCATTTCTCAATTTAATTGCAGGTCTTTGATTATTTATTATTTCAATTAATTTTCTAAAAATTGTCTCCACTAGCTAGGTAATTAAAGTAATCCAAGATTTTTGAAGGCAAATCTAAGTTTATCTTGTATTGTATGTAGTTTATTCACGAAAAAGGATTTTGAAAATTATAAAAAGAGAAAATATTAAAAAAATAAAAGAAAGAAGAGGTAAAAAAGAGATAAAGAAGAAAAAGAAAAAAAAATTACTTTATTCTCCTCAAGATTTTTGAAAGCAAATCTAAGTTTATCCTGTATTGTTTGTAGTTTATTCACCAAAAAAGATTTTAAAAATTATAAAAAGGGAAAAATTAAAAGATAAAAGAAAGAAGATGTAAAAGAGAGAAAAGGAAGAAGAAGAAAAAGAAAAAGAGAAAAGAATTTTACTTTATTTTCTTTAAGGTTGTCTTGTGCTTAAACCATTTAGATAAGCAATAATCATTTCAAGATTTTGTCATGAGTAAAGAGAAAGTAACGAATATAAGAGAATTGGGGTAAAAATTGCTTTTTCAATGTGGAAAAATATCGATATTTGAACCATAGGCTTGACTTCCATTAACCCATTCTCATCCTACTTAACCCACAAATTTACATAGAAACAAAAAGAAAGCAAAGATGGTGTTTCAACATTTTAGACATGAACATCCACTGGTGTTCATGGAAGAGCGGAGCCATGAAAGTGACAAGGTTTACTGCTTAGGATGTGGGGATCTGGTGTCAAGTTTAAGCTTCGGTTTTATGGACTGCGGGTTTTACCTTAACAAGCAGTGTCCTGAGGCACCCCTGAGATGAATCACCTATTCCATCACAATTACAGCCTGAATCTTCTAGCAAGTGCACCATATCAAGATGGGGCTTTTTTTTGTGATTTCTGTAACAAAATGGGTAAGAGGTTTGTTTATCATAGGTCTCTGTGATTAGACTTTCATATTGAAATACCTTAGCAACCAAAATGACAATTGGGTTAGAGTATTGTTAAAGCCCATTAGTTTATTAAATGGAATAATTAGCAAAAAAAAAAAAACTGTTGAGATATTTAGCAGCATTTGTTTAACGTGAAAAAAAAATAAGTTTCCCTTTTTTTTTTTTGTAGGGCTGGAAGATCAAAATTGAGGATTCAAAATTAAAGTTTACCTCCATATTAGTCTTTTAAGGGTGAGTAAACCTTCTTTTAATTTGAAGAAGAAGTCTTGCTCATTATTGAATTTAGGTTAAAATTTCTAAATTTCTTTTATAAATGTTGGAAAGAACTCATTATATGATTCTCTTTATAAATGGGTAAGAATTCATTATAAATGTCGTAAAAATTTATAAAAGAAATTTAGAAATTTTTCATAATCGTACATGATTCTCTTTGATCAGTTGTGTTAAGGTTATTAGATATTGTTCTACTCATTTTAATTGTGAGTTAAGATTAGTTATTGAATTAATTTTAAGGCTGGTAATGAAAGAACTCATTATTGTGGATTAAAAGGAAAAATATGCTTTGTAAGAACAAGTTTTCTATGATAGTGAATTTGTATTAATAGTCTGTATTAGCCTACAAACTTTTACTATGAGTATTATATATTGTTAGAAAGATTTTTGAATATATTTTCCAATAAGACAAACAGAAGTCAATTCCAAGTTTTTACAAAGAATTATTTAATTTTTACTTAAGGGCATTCAGATTGTTTGACAATAGCATCAGGGAAGAATTATGAAAATTCTATTAATTTTATATAAAGATTTATAAATTAAACCATATATGTTTGAAAAGATTATTGAGTCTCTACTTTCTAACAAAAAAAGCAAAATTGAATTTCAATTCCCCTATAAATAAATAATTTTTATTAGAAGGTATATATATTATTTGACAGTAGCATAAGACATGAATTGAAAAAAAAATAGACATTAATCTGCAATGAATTAAGGTATGTATATGGCTAGAAAGCTCATTGAATCTAATTTCAAATGCCCTCAAAAGATCTTAATTTCAATTTTTATATCTTGAGATATGGTCATTCTAGTGAAAGGAGCATAGGCTATTACTATTAGTTAGTTGAGTTAACTCATGTATAATTTAGTTGTTTTAGTATAAATAGCCTAAAAAATGTGGATTGATTTTTGATATGTTATAATGACCTTGAATAGGCTATTAATTATTTTAGAAGGAAAAGTAAATGGTTAATAGAAAGAGGTAAGTAAAATCTCACACACTATACTTTTTTACAA